GCTCCATTGCCATAGCTGTCATATGAATGATCGAGATCGCCTCCTACTCGTTTGGATGGACACCCACACCCACACCCCCACACCCCCACTCACTGCCCTCCTCCAGTCTCGTCTCGTCTCATGTCGCGGTCGTGACGTCTTCACCGAGTCGCTTTTGTGCATGCCGTGCCGTGCCGTGGTGAAGTCAGTCCGTCAAGTGAGAAAGCGAAAATTCGGCTCGAGTGGACACCTGACGTCTGTTTGGTGCTGCTGTGGTGTGATGTGTGTGGGTGGTGTGCTGGCTGTCTGCTGTGGGGATGGAGAGAGAGGGTGTGTGTTCGTGTGCTGATGTTTCTGTCGCACTCGCTGGACACCACACACATTGAGTCTTTGGTGCCTTCTGTGTTGTTTTGTATCGTGTGTGTCCTCCCCCCTCTCTCTGTGGGCATCTTCGAAGGCGGTCGGCAATCCGAGAGCGTCAGCCCATGAAGGGTGTTGGTGCTTTAGGGTTGCCGGGCGGCGACAGAGATGCGCACAGCGGGGGTGGGCGGGGGAATGGACACACACACACATAGAGGGAGAGAGAGAGATCTGTTTTTTCTTTTTGCCTGCCTGTCTGCCTGTGGGTCATGTGGGTTTTGCCTGTTTGGTGGTGATGATGTGTGCTGAAGGGAGAAAGATCGGCCGATGCGCCGACCCCTGCTGCCCAATAAGTACTGACTGCCCTTAGCTGACATCTCTCTCTGTCTCTCTCGTGGCCCTTTTGCGTGTGGGTGTCGGTCGTCGACTGACGGACGACAGCAGGACAACACGAGAGCTCATTATGCGGCGGTGTGCGGCGGTCTGATGATGGGCTTTGGTGTCTGCGAGCAATGGTACACCGACAGACACACAGAGAGGGAGGGACACACAGACGGACAGAGAGGGGCGGCCGATGACGTCTGTGTGTCTGTCTGTCTGTGTGTGTGTGTCTGTGTGTGTCAGCTGTGGTTGGTGTGCTGATTCACTCGCTGGAACAAAGCGAGACGACGGCCGAGCGGCTGCCGCTGTGAGATCGGCCGATGAGTCGACGAGCTGATGTGAGTGAACTGACTGTCTGTAACTCTGCCGCGTGGACGGCATCGATGGACTGACGGCTGTCGTGTTTATGAGAGTGTTTTGTGTTGTGGGGCTTTGGGTGTCGGTCGGTCTGGCTGCCATTGTCATGACTCCTCCAACAGCCGTCTGCTGCCATGAGTGTGTCGGCTGATGAGTGGGGGGCGGGGGAGAGATGACAGACAGACAGACAAACAGACAGAGAGGGAGGATCGGCTGGTTGGCTGCACAAAGGAATCGCTGTGTGGGGTGGCGGTGGCCGTCTGTCTGTCACTGGGTGGCGTGTGATGTCTGCTCGCGAGAGTGTGTTGATCTCTCGTCGATGCATCCGTCACACACGGCCGGGGCACAGACAGACAGACCGACACACACACACTCTGTTTGCCTGAGAGAGAGAGAGAGAGAGTTTTGATTTCCTTTGTGTGTCCCCTTCCCTCTCTGTGGGCATCTGTGAAGTCCGTCCGTCAATCCAAGAGCTCAGCCCACGAAGGGTGTTGGTGCTTTGGGGTTGCCGGGCGGCGACAGAGATGCCCACAGAGGGGGGTGGGCGGGGGAGTGAGATGGACAAACACACGACTGCTGACCCATCACACCAAATGAGGCAGTGGATGTGCCCTTTTGCCGACGGTCCTGATGTCATACTTACACAGAGTGCGTCGATGTGCGACACCTGCATGTCCTTGTCGGTTCTTCTCTCGTGTGACGTTTGTGTGTTGGTGAGCTGACTGTCGTCGATCCATTTGACGCACATTTGACGGCCCACAGACAGACCCAGGCCGTGGCCGTCACCCGGGCCGTCACCCAACCGCAGCCACCCACCCATCCACTCATCACACACAAACATCCCGAGTGTGTGCTGGCATGTGTCGCGTGTCATGCCTTTTTGGGGCATTGTGCAGGCAGTGGCTGCTGTCGTGCCAGCTCCCTCCTCGGCCGCCTTAGCAAGCTGAGTGGACACAAGAGACGGAGAGAGACATGCGGATGAGTGTCATGCAGTGTTCGACGTAAGGATTTTTCCTCAGACCTCTGTCAAACCTGTGCATGGACAGGGAGGTTTATGTACTCCGTATTAATACGTATTCGATCCTTCACCCGTATTAATACGCGTTGCGATGAATGAATGAATGTATACGCGTTGAACAACGTTGACATCCATGTACGCATCAATCAGGAGAGTCTGTCACGCAGGTCCACACAGCCGTTGAAAAGTCAGCCAAAAGAAAACGCAGCCCCCACACTCTCACACAAAGGGATGCTAGCTGGAAGGAAGGATAGGAGCGAGGCAGACAGACAGACAGGTAGATAAAAGCAAAGAGGGGTGTGTGCGCGAGCTGTGTGTGGTGGTGGCTGTTTGGCTGGGTGGCTCAGATGAGGTCGGCCACGTTCATGGGCATCTCGTCTATCTGCGTCGAGTAGTACTGCTCGATATCGCGGAGAATACGAATGTCGTCATTCTGACCACCATACACACACCCACACACACACACACTCGTCATGCTGTAAGCATTCTCCTATTCTCTCTCTCTCTCTCTCTCTGTGTGTGTGTGTGTGTGTGAATGCGACTGTTACCTTGACGAAGTTAATGGCGACACCCTTTCGGCCGTATCGGCCGGACCGTCCGATGCGATGGATGTACAGCTCACGATTGTTGGGCAGGTCGTAGTTGATCACCAGCGACACCTGCACACACACGCAGACGCCCATACGATGAGCAATGAGGTGTCCGGTGATATTTGTGTTGCCGACTGACCTGCTGGACGTCCAGCCCTCTGCCCCACACGTCCGTGGCTATCAGTACCCTGCACTCACACACATGCCGAAGACACAGAGTGGCATTGTGGTCTGCCTGCGTGTGTTGATGGATGATTTATGTACATACCTGTTAGACCCGCTCCTGAACTGGCTCATGATTTGCTCCCGCTCCTTCTGCGGCATGTCACCGTGCATCGAACTCACCTGCATACAGCACACAACAACAGATACAGGCCGGTCCCTGTGCTCCCCACCCCGCCTCCCTCCCCCCCTCCCTCCCTCCCTGCCTCCCTCCCCTTGCGCACGCACCGTGAAGTTGGCCTCAC